CCGCCCGGGGCGGCCTCTGGCACTCTCTCCCGAGATGCTCCCTGCCTGGCACCGACAGCCGAGTCAGCCAGCTCCCCAGTCATCCGCCCCCCCCCCACCCCCCTTGGCCCTGCAAGCCAGTCCTGGGGCCCATCCCGGTTGCACTGTGGAGGGGTTTGCCAGAATCCCGGAATGGGGCCGAAAGAAGGAGGAGGGGAGAGAACAGGAAAGAAAAAGAAAAAAGGAGGCGGTGGGGGGGGATCCGGTTCAGTCAGTTTCTCAGTTCCTGCTTGTAGGGTGGGGAGCCCCCCTCGGGGCCTCCCGGGCATCCAACTGGGGAGAGCAGGTACGCGGGTAAAGGGATTCTCTCCTCGGCACGTTCACGGGAGGACAGTGAAAATTTGCCTTGGGTGGCCAATTTCCTCATTCGCCCCTATTAAAAGAAAAAGCCCAAGAAATTCAATTAAAGCCACCCTGGCCAAGGCTCTATTTGAGGCATGAATGTCTCCCCTAAAGCTGCAGCAATCATGTGGCATTAGACACTTCCGGAATCCTATAGCCAACCTGAAAAATCCCAGACCCCCTTTTTCCCTAATTTTTGCTCTGATCTGTAATTTTATCCACATTTGCACTAGTTTGAGCATTCTGGCTCTCCCATCTGAAAGCCTGCAATTACTATATAATTCTTCGCAATTTCAGATGTCCTAATATGGACTGTAATTTTTGCGCAAGACAATTTCCTGCTATTTCAAGCATCAACATTGTCAAAGTTGTATGTACATAATAAATGGGAATATCAATGCATAGTTTTTAGCATAACATCTTGACTCCTCGATAATTATATCCGTTCGGAGCCTACGCAGAATTAGCCTGAATTGCATGGTAACTGCTGCTGCTTTAAAATTTTTAAAAATTACTCATAATTTTCCCAAAGATTACCAAGATCTCGAGTGCACAATGTCATCAGCGTAATGAAGAGTAAACATTTATGCTAATAATCTGCAATTTTTTTCATCAGCTATAAAGACAGAGGCTATATAGCCGAAAATTTCAGTCCTATTCTGCAAGCGCAGCGCTGCAAAAAGCCTGCGGCGCTCTGAGGCGCCTGGTCCTGGGGACCTCTTTCCACTCTTTACTCTCAAGATAGGAGGATGGGGCCGGGGGATTCTTTTTGGTTTTCTGGTTTTGTTTTACTCTGGTTTGGTCGGTTTTGTATTTTTCTGTTTTTCCTTTTTTTCCCCTTTTTTCTTTTTTGCTTTTTCTTTCCCGTTATTCTCCCAGCCAAAAGCTACCTTCGACCCTTTTGATTTGATGTAGCAAAGAGTGTGTGTCCAGATTATCTGAAATTGACACTGAAGAAGGTAAGGGTGGAAACCGGTTTCATTTTTCAGAGGGTTGGAAGGCTGCGCTGCGCTCGCCGCCGCGGCTCCCGCTCCGGGAGTAGGAGGGTGGGGGAGTGATTATGTATGCACCAGCTAATTCTTCCATCAAAACTTCTTGTCAGCGATGTCAGGATTATTTTTTTTCCTTTTTATAAAAACACTTGATGTTTCAGGAAGTGTTAATCCCCGAAGACTGAGGGATGAGGGAGGGGATAGGAAAGCGGTGGGTGGGGGTGACATGTTTCTTGAGCCTGGGGAAGGCACTCTTTACAGCCGTTTGTCTGTCTACACTGGAGCTGGGGGTTTGTTGTGGAGCTGGGGACCGGAGAAGGATTTCTTTGAGGCATGGGAGGAAAGGACCCTTGCCCTCTGTGCTGCATTTGGTGGAGGTTCCTATGGCCATGTGGGATGAAGAGCAGAAAAGTTTGCTTTAGCTTATAATTTCAAGGGTGTTTAATCTAGGCGGTGGGATGACAAAAACCAGAGAATTTTGAAATCAGTGTATAAAAGATGCAGAAAAGAAGAGACGGATACTGGGATAAAGATTTAAAGCCAGGAAACCTGGGTTGCTTCTTTTCTCCCAATTTTTCTTGATCTAGTATCTCAGGTTCCACATCCAGCGCACAGACCTACCTTTCCTCGGGTGACAGAAACTGACAATTTCTTCAAGGTGAAAGATTCAGTTAGCTTCTACATCAGATGACTCTCTATGAATAAATTCACACTTCTGTGCATATAGGTGGGGGGAATGTTGAAAGTTTTTGTGGCTCTAAAAACTAGTACAGAATCAAGAAGGCTGAAAAGCTATCATATCTAACCCAGTCCAGGTGCAGATTTCCAGAAGAAAGAAATAAAAATAAAACATAATGATCAGTGAGGAAAAGCTGTGAACTATAAATGTTTCCAGTTTTATATTTTTTAAATAGTGCCTCGATTTAGGCTCTGAGTTCTCCCACAATTAGATTACCACTCACAAGACTACCCAGCCCCTCCAGGCTCATGAAAGCCAAGACCAGTGAGGAGGGGGGTGGGGACTGTTGCTTCTGTCCCTACCCCTACCCCTTTTTAGAGCTAGTGTGGGTGAGAGAAGATATTAAAGGGATATCTGTTGTTTGACAATTTTGCTAAGTCTGTCTTCATTACTTTGCTGCTGTGCATTTGCTAATTTGGAGGCCTGGCCATTGACAAGCTTGCTCCATACACCTGCAAGCAATTTGCCGGCTCCGGTACCGGAGAATTGCAGAGATGGCAGCTCGCACCTATTTGATTTTTTTTCCTTTTCTCAATGCACAGCAAATTTGGCTTTCAGTGCGTTATCTCTTTTGTTAATGCAAAAAGATTCCCTGGGCGAAAAAATTGCTCATAATTACCAGAGAGATGGGGAAACTGCATTAGAATAAATAAACCTGAAATTACTGTAATTATGTTGTGTTTGATGGGCCCGGCTTGTAATCAAGAAGAGAATACAGTGAAATGATGCTGACCCTCTTGGGTTTGCAGCTGTACGCGCACTTTGGGGTCTTTTTTTGCAGAAAAGAGTCATTTTGATAATCATTAAGCTGTGTGCAACCTATTTCAGAAGTGTTTTAAAATGAGGTTCACATTTTTTGAACAAGGGAAAAAAATCCCAAAATTGCATTTTGCCATTACAGACTCATACATAAGGAAAGGTTGTGTTTTCTAAGTGACAATTGTTAAGACATAATATTCGAAATCAGTATTTAATCATTATAATGAGGTATTGTTTAAATATAACCACCTTTAGATTATTCATAGTTTAATTAATATACTCATTATGAAAATCTTTGAATCAGATATTTGATGAACTACTTGTCAGTAACAAGGCAGCATTAATTAGGCCTATATTGAGATTAACATTTTAAAAAAGTACAACCGCTTATAATTATAATAGAGCCTAACTAAAGACTGTTTTCGTTGAGCTAAAACTAATAATTTCTCTATTTGAACTGTTAGCAAGAGATTATTAAATTAGTATAAGCTAATGCCTCAAAGTATTCAAATCCGCTTGACCAAACAGATTTTGTCTGTAGCTTTAGGCGTTGGGCCCTAGCTATCGTCTGGGGGACCCAAGTCAGATTCGGGACAGAAACCTCCGCACTAGCAAAGTCACATCTCCCAGGGGAAACTGAACCTAGGAAGACCCCCTACCCCGCACCGGAGCGCGGAAATTGGTTCCTTCCCTCAGCTTTGAGGCCCATCTGGCTGCCCACGTCCTGGTCTCTGAGATCTGATCTCTCCCATTAGCGCTGGTGCTTCTAGGTGCTGCGGAGAGAGAAGTCTCAATCTCAGGCCTGGAAGGGGCTTGGAGGTCCCTGGAGTCATCCCCCACCCCACTACTTTCCCTGCTGCCATCACACCGCCTCCCCCCACCTCCAGCAGCCCCACCACTTCCTCCTCCCCTTCCCAAAGGGCGTCGGAAGAGCCCGGCGCATCTGATCTTTCACCAGCACCAATTGAAAAATGGGTGCTTGTCACAACACAGATCATTGCCTTCCGGGCTCTGCTCCCCACCGCGCGCCTGAAAGGGCCCCCCAAAGGTGGAGGGCCAGCTTCCGTGGGCAACAGCGCTGGAAGGCGGGTGCGGGAGAAGCAGGAATCGCGCCTGGTAGTGGGTCTGGGCTCGCAGCTCTCCCGGGCTGCCTCTGCTCAGCTGCGGGGTCTGGGGTTGAGGTTGGGCTAAGACGCAGAGCCACGAGAAGAGAGGCAATCTGGTTCTAGTCCCTTGGAGCCCGTGCACCTCTGGAGGGAACTAATCTGAGCGAGCGCTTCACTAGAGGTGCCCCCATAGGAGTCTGGCCTTGGGACTTTCAGACTGGAATGAGGTGGGAGAGGTGTGCTTGACTTTGGTCAGATTTTGGGGTTCCAAAGGGTCAGCCACCCTTCCCTTAGCACCTCCATTTCTGTGAGGTTCAAAGAAAGGCCCCAGATCATTAGACAGGAACCTGTCTCACTGTAGAGCTGCCAGGGTGGCTCTCTGGGACTGTGCCCTGTCCCCTGGAGCGCACTGATTGATAGCGGGGCAGTCTGACGGACAGACGTGTCTTTCCGGCCCCTGCCTGGCGTCTGACTGCTCTTTTCCGCGAGGGAATCCAGCGCCTCTGGGCAAGCTAAGGCCAGGAGGCCAGATCCGGAGGAAGGCTAGAGGCAAAGCAGTGTCTCTGCTTCCAGGCCTCTCAGCCTCCCAACCTCCCGGCCTCCCAAGAAGTGGCTGGGTGTGGGAAAAAAAAATTGTTCAGGCCGGCTGACTTTGAATTTTGACTTCATCTCTTTTCAGCCAGTCTTCAACATCCTTTTGGTTCCTCAGAGTCAGCTCTGCCCTGATGCACCTGTTCCTGAGTCCCCTTCCCCCGGAATCCTACCAGGCACCCTCTCCTTACCCCTCCGGTTTAGGTAGGAATCAGATACCTTGGCGGTCAAGAGAGCAAGGCAAGAAGAAACGGTTCAGTAGGATACCCCACAGGCCTCTGATGATATCCTGGTGTTTCTGGGGTACTGGGTCCCCCATTCTGTCACTGATAAGTTGCTGACCCTGTACTACCTGTCTCCAGAGTCGGGAACCTGGCCTGCCTGCCCCCCACACACCCCCTCACACAGCACAAGAGAGAGCAGTTCTTTCTCGAAATCATAATTTTACTGTCTCAAAGAAACTGTATAACTTATTTACAAAGTTTTTTTCCCAAGATACAAAGCAATAAGTTAACATTCTCAATATAAAACTAAACTTTGACATAGAGAACACAAAACACAGTTGATTTCAATTGATCACATTTTCCAAATTTCACAAGTAAAATGTCAAGATTCTCATTTCACAAAGCATGGGGTTTTACAGCCACACACAACAGAACGCAAAAAGGCTAAGCTTGTGCAACATGTTTACAGAACAATAATAATAACAATAATATGTACAGTGATTAGATCCTGCACTGGAGACTGTGCATTCAGGGTGGTGACTGGCTTTATTCTGTGGTCGAGCCTCTAGGGATTGTTGTAAAGCTGCTTTTGCTGTATTTTAAAGCCCACTGGAATTAGGGTACTTGTTCTCGCCTGCCTGTTTTTCCTCTACTCCCCATTCGTTCTTGCTCCTTCCTTCTATTCAAGGAGGAAATCAGTATTTTCCTTCTTGTCCAGGCAAAGCAACCAAGAGTTCCTCCCGAGAGGAGAAAATCATGTTGGCTTCATTTGTCTTTCTTTTCTTTTAAAAGTTATTTATTAAATAATGTGGGACATGTAAAAAATGCAAATCATCCGGCTCCAAACTCTCCATACCAGAGAATTACAAAAGTTACTGTATAAATTAAAAATCACCGCGTCCTCCTTATTCGTTTCTCCCCGTGCGTTTAAAGTAAACAGTGAGTTCCTTGCGCCTAGCAGAACCTCGAATTGCCAAACAGCCTCAGGCGAAGTCCATTTCTCAATAAATAAAACCCCCTCCCCTCCAGTGTCCCCAGATTCCCAAACCAGCTACACAGATGGTCAGGCAGAACGTCCCAGGATCCGGAGATGGTCAGCCGGGCAGTAACCGGGCCGCTCAGACCTGGTGGCTTTTTGCAGAGACCGCCGAATGAGGACAGCGGACGGATGAGGACCTTAATTTTATCAGCGCACAGACAGCAAAAGGAGACAGGAGACTGACAGGACAAAACAGAGCTTTTGCTTTTTCTACATTTTGTGTTTGTTTTGTTTTTGTTTTCCTGATAGTCCCACAAAGCTGAAGGTCGGCAGGTCGGGTGGAGCGGGTTTGTCTTGCTCTTGGGCTTGTCTCAGGTGGCAGCGCCTTCCCTCCGAGGCCACTCTCTGCTGCTACTGCTTGGCCCAGGCCAGGGTTCAGGCTAGAGCGCGGGCGCCGGGAAGTTGCTGGGCCGGACCTCGCGGGGCTCCGAGGAGATGGAAGGTATCCTGCCTCCACTGTTCCTTCTTTTTCCCCTCTGGGTCCTTCTTTTCCGGACGGGGTGGATGGACCTGGAGGCGGGAGGGACCTGGGCTGGGGGAGACAAGAAGAAGGCGGGCGGGCAACCTCACATAAGTTGGGGTTGCTGCATAGCTTCTTGGTGAGCTGAAGGGTACCACGATGTGTAGCTGGGGATATAGGAGCCCGAGTTTCCGCCTGAGCCCTTCCCGGATGACGAGTTAGGGTTCCAGCCGGGCGGCACGGGTGGGGAGCCAGCAGACAGGGCCCGGCCGTTGGCCAATGCACTACCCTCCAGAGCCGCTCCACCCTGCTTCATCAGCTTCTTGAACTTGGAGCGCTTGTTTTGGAACCAGATCTTGACCTGCAAGAGTGGACAACAACGTGACTCAGGCTGGGACCACTGAGCCTACCTAGGTCACAGAGGGGGGAAAAAAGGACAGCTGGACACCAGAGATAGGACCTCCCAACCTTGCGCCAGCTGGCATCTCCCTGCCAGAGAAGCAGAGACATCCCTCCTTGCTCCCTTCCCCCATAGGAGCCAAAGGCTCGAAGGACTCACAACCCCCCGCCGCCGCCAGCCCACAGGGGCAGCTCTCAGAGAGCCAGGGAGGAGTTGTGGTGAGGGGTGAACGGGGGATCCAGGCCTTAGCCTGCCAGGGACTCAGTCCGACCGTGGCTACCGTCTGCGGAAGACACAGCGCCTGCACAACACCGAGCCAGCAATTCCAATATCAACATCAATAAAAGAATCGAAAACCTAGGAAGGAGTGGAGGAAATTTATTTGCAACGCGACCCAACTTTTCTATGCGCCATCCTTTCTGCCCTGGAGTTGGAACGGACTAAGGAGGCCTCCAGGTTTGTGGAACTTTTCTTTGGATTCAAAACCATTCTTGCCCTAGGGTCTGTTTGCTTTCTCCAGCTCTGCTCCAAATCCCGGACCGGACTTCGGAAACCCACGCCGGCCACCAGAACGCTCAAGGGCTCCCCGTAGTCTTAGAGAAACCCAGGAAGGAAGATCCGGTTTCCCCTCTAAGGTCTGGGACTTGGAGGTGAGAGGGCGGAGGAAAGAATCTCCCCCACCCCCAACCGGTGAGAAGGAGGAAGAGGAGGAGGGCAACAGAGGCTCGGACCCAGGCCCCTAGTGATTAGTCACACAATTTAAAGGCAAAGGAAGGATTAAGTCCCAAGTCTATTGTTCCCGTTGTTCAGGCACGTGTGACCTCAGAGTTCCCAAACAAAACGTCCAGGGAAATCCTTCCTGCGCCCTAATCAGATTGTCCTGGGACGGAGGGCCGGGCGGCAGGCAGCTCGGGATACCGAGAGCTGCAACAGAGCTAGGGCAGACGGAATGAGGGAGGAAGGAGACACACTGAGAGCTGGGGTGGACACAAACACACACACAGTGACACCCCAACCCTGAGGCCCAGAGAGCCAGAAATGAAGACCCGGGAGCAGGCCGGCCGCGGAAGGCCTGCGTGGCGGAGAGGAGCGGCAGCTGCGAGGTACCTGAGTCTGTGTGAGTCCCAAAGAGGCAGCGAGCTCCGCCCTCTCCGGCAGAGCTAGGTACTGAGTTTGCTGGAACCTCCGGTTCAAAGCCTGCAACTGCAAACTGGAATAAATCGTCCTGGGTTTGCGGATCTTTTTCCCCTTGCCATTAAAGCGCACTTCACCGCCTTCCACCACCGTGCTCTTCTCCGAGTCCGCCCCTGGAGGGACAGCAGAAGCAGGGGCCGTTGTTAATACGAGGGGCCGCTTTTAGTGCGGACAGCCGAGAGCGAGTGACTACCGAAGGGTGGCAGAGGCAGGACCAGGGAGAGAACGTTCAAGAAACTCTGAAAGCCAGTGAAGGGTCCCTCAAAATCCGAGGGCCTGTCCCTGGCCGCTGTAGGCGGGATAGAGCCGTTCCCAGGAGCGCAGCTCCTGCCTTTGCAGGGAAAGTTAGCTATTTTTGCAGGCGGTAGTTGAGGTTTAATTACCCTTAATTGCATACATTGTTTATAGCGCTACGCAATAAATAATTACCGACACTAATACGTGCACATGTGGGTTTCTGTTTTCCAGCGGGGCATTGTGTGCTCTGCACACCGAGCCGCCCAGAGGCCCAGTCAGTGCCAGGAGGCGCTCTGGGATTTATCCTTTGCTGGATAGTTGCAAATTGGGTGGATTTTTAAAAAAATTTATTTGCTGTGACAAGGATCTATAGATTGATATTCGAAACCTCTACTGCTCCCGCGCCCTCCCCACCCCCACCTCACTTCTCTCTCCTCTCTTCTCTTTCTCTCTCTCTCTCCCTCTCTTCTTCTCCCCCGCTCTTTCTTTCCCTCTCTCCCTTGTACCTCCTCCTCTCCCTCTCCCTGGCAAGCGCACGTACCTGGGTCCTCCAGGCGGCTCTGGGCGAGGCTGGCGCTGCCGGGGTAGGACTGCACCGAACTGATGTAGGGGCTGGATGCGTGGCTGCTGACCGAGTTGACGTAGGGGTAGCCCAGCGGTCGGGAGAAGGACGAGGCTGAGCTGTAGGCGCCGTCGGGCTGCGAATGGCCCGCCGAGTGTAAACAGTGCATGGAGTAGTGCCCGTGGGACATGGGAGAAGGAGACATTTGCTGGTTGGGCGGCCCAAACTCCATAAACACCGCCTTGCCCGACACGGGGCTGTTGAGACTTTCTGGCATGGTGGTCATGGTCATCTCTTCTCGCGGGGTCTGGGTGTGGGACTTTCTCTCCTCTGCTTCCCTTTTGGGGGTCTCTATGTTTCTCAGGACAGGAAGGAACCCAATTTAAGCGGAACAGGGGTTTTCACTTTCCATTCATAAGAAAATGGAGTTTGTCTCTTTGAAAAGTCTAAGCATGATGCTGCTGAGCTCCCCAAACTCGGTTCAAAGCTTTGACTCAGCCAAGGTCATAAATATTCATGAGCTCGCGGAGCTGATTGGTCCGCTGTCTTGCATAATCACTGGGGATTGGTCCGAGGCGCTCGGGCTCCGCTGGACTAGAGCGGGCGAGGCGGCCCGGCCTCGGGAGAGACGCATCCACACTTCCCGGCCCGGGCTCCTCTGCAACAGAGCGCGCCGGGCAGGAAGCACAATGGGCTGCGGCGTCTGCGCCGGGACCGCTGCGGCCCGCTGCGGCCCGCGGCCCGTCGGCCTCCCGCCTCCCTCGCGCGCTTTCCTCCCCAGGAACCAACCAGCGGCTCGTCCCCGCCGCCCACCTGCCACTGTCCCCACCCTTCAGCAGTCCCTAACGCCGGACACCCGGGGCCGCTTCTCGTCGCTGCCACTCAGTCCGGCGCAGAGCTAGGGCGGCTCGGGAGGAGGCTGACCTCGGCCTCTGGAGCTCGGAGTCGCACACTGGGGGGCGCCCGAGGCGGCCAACAGAGAGGTCCTCCCAAGAGCCGTGTGCCTAGCGCAGCGCGCATCCGTTCGCGCCTCCCCGGCCTGGGTACACTTTGCCACATCCCTGGATTCGGGGCTTAGGGGCCCTCCCTGCGAACTCACTCACTCGGCCGCTGCGCCGCCACCGCCGTCGTTCTCTGGGGCCCGCTCGCATTGCTCCAGGCCCAGCTGGCCACTCCAGCTCGAGGCTGCACTGGTCTGATTAAAGCAGTGCGAGTGGAGAGCCGGGAACCCGCGCTTCTCCTCCCAGGAAAGGCGGCTGCACCGCCCCCTCCCCCAGCACACACATCCTCTTTCCCTCCCAGCCTTCCTCCGCCTCCCCCTCCCTTCTCCACTCCCCCTGCGCGGAGCTCCCCGCGCTCACTCGCCCAGAGAGCGCGGCTCAGCGTGGAGCCCAGGGGGCCCACGGGGCCCAGGGGCTCAGATCTGCTTGAGCCCCGGACGCCAGGTGGTCATTTTCCGGCCTCCTGAGGTCTAGCGAGACTCCCAGAGTTTAAGCGTCCCTGGGGGACACCGAAACCCGCAGCAAACCCAGGCCTGTGGTAGGCTCTGGTGTCTATGTGTAGAGGTCTCTTGTTGCCATCCAGGATCTTCCTCACCTCCAGTGGCCAAAGCGCGCGCCACCTGGCCTGGGGGGCATGGCTGGTGGAGGCAAGACCTGCCGCGGCTCCCTTTGTCTTCTGGGGTGCCAGGTACAAAAAAGTGCACAAGAGCCCCCACTCATCGCCACTACTACCAATTCAGCCACCCCCTCGCGGTGTGATGCACACTACCCTGGCTGCAAGTACATGTTTGGTCCCCACCCTGCCAGCCCCACGGTGAATCCCAAATTACTTTGTTAGGTAATTAGAAAGTGTTGATAATTATTTCTTTCATAATTTAGCGGTGTGACGGGAACGGGGAAATGATCTTGTGAAAGTTCACACGTGCAGATGTATTAGTTACTGATTCATTTGATTAAATGGTAGTCTCAAGTGCTCAGATCCGCAGCTGAAGGCGCCCCATTAGCATAACACTGATGTTTAATTTTCATACGCATAATTAGCCATATATTTAACACTAATAGCAACATGCAGCCTTTCAGCGTTAAACAGCCAGGGATTTGATCTGGCCTGAGCTGAACCTTCATCGCTGCACCTTCCCCTGTCTGGAGTGTGCAATGATCACAGGACAAACCTCTGTAATCAAGCACATTTTGGCAGAGGGAACACCAATAAAAATGAACATTCAAAACAAATTACATCGGTGCTGTCGTTACAGATATTAGTAGAGGGGGTTTCTCTTTTTTTTAACTTCTGTAGCAGCAGCTGCTACCCGCAGAATTCCCCTCCTTTGGTTTAAGGGCACAATGCTGGGGACAGAAATATTTCAGACAGCGTGGTTGGAACAAAAACAAAAACAAAAGAAAAAAAAAACCCAATACGCCAAACCAATAACGGGTTTGCCAACGTTTTAAAAGATTTTTTTTTTTTTTTTTCTTAATCACCGAACCACACGGTGAGGCTTTGTAGCAACAGCCAGCTAATGATTCCGCCACCAGACAACTCCCGGAGCCGCTCGGCTCGTCCTGATTTCTGTGTCGCACTGTGGTTTTAATTGCTCCTTCCTACTGCCTGTTTTGGGGTGTGGAGTGCCATGCCATGTGCCCAGCACAGTCGCTCAGATACTGCCCGGGCCCTGGGTCTCTCGCGTGTGTCCTGAGGGCCTTGCCCACGTAAGTGATCGCCGCGGCGGGCGCGGGGTCGGGGTTGGGACTGGGGAAAGAGGAATTGGTAATTCCCGGAGCTCAGGGCAAGGCTTGAGGAAACCCGACGGCCGGGCCGCCTAGGGACAGTGTATTCCAGAGACTTGCAAGGTGGGGGAAGGGGAGAGACTGCCGCACAACGCGAGTCTCCTGGGTACTCGGTGTCCACAGCTGGAGAGGGATCAAAGACTTTTGCTGCGGCGCAGGGGACCTGGCTGCCTTCTTGGAACAAAAGTCCGGCGTATGCTTCTTGGGATACTGTTTCAGAGCCTTGTTTAATTTAGAAGCGGATTGTGTGTGAGCAAGAGATGGCTACACTCTGGAATTATTTCTTAGCCCACCAGAAGCAGGTCTGGGGAGGAGCACTGAGCGGGGGGGCCGTCTAATGCCGAGCCACTGGCGGTAGATAGCTTCTCAATGTGGGATCTTAGCTCCACACTTGGAGTGGATCCCTCCCACCCCCTACTGCTAAGGTGACACACTGGTTCGCTTAAATTGTTGCCTACCCTCACTCTGAGAGAAAACAAAACCCTCCCATTTGTCCTGAGGGTCCAGGATTCCCAATGGAACCTGTTGGAGTCACCTCAGGACCACGAGGTCCTGATGGTGTTAGTCGCAGCCACACTTGGCTGGAATCCCACTGGCTCTGGGTGAGTTTTTGAGCCAGTTCAGCTGGCAGAGAGACAGAGAGGCATGGACGAGGCATTTTTAAATCTAGTTCCTAATCTCAACTTCAAAGCATGTTAAATGGAGTTCTTTATAATTCAAGTTTGATTTCTAGGGAGGTGCTGAGTATTGGCAGTATACACACACGTTAGGTTAGTCCCTTTAATACGTGGAATTATAAACTTGTCCCATAAATACCTCCATCTCAAAATAATTGCTGCCCAAGCAGTGTGTTACCTCAGTGGTTGGTAAAATCCTGTGGTCCTAATGAAACTATCCTTGGGGAACCTCCGAGTAAACTGATTTGCAGATAGGACACAATGCTAATGGCTGCAGTCCGATTGCATTAAGAGAAGACGGAAGTCATTCTCCAGCAAACATCTCCCAACGCCAGCTAAGCCCTCTTGCTCTTTAGGGAATCCACATATTTGGGGGGGCAGTAACATCAGTCTGTGGGCCTCTGCTTGGCCAACTTCCGAGCAGACAAAAAGTTTTTCTATGGACCTTGTACATCGTCAGCCCCTCCCTGATCTTTTCTAGTTCTCAGACTCACTAGAATCAGAAACACCTCTATCCAAAAATCTACAACCCTGGACACAAAGAAGCCTAGCTGGAGGGTTTGGGGGATGACGGAGAGAGAACCCTGTGTTAGGTAAACGCTGGAACTCATCACTTTTCCGAGCCAGCTGGTCCTCAGTTTACCCTTTTTTTGAGTGTCATAAAGATGAACTGGCTCTTAGTCCTGGCCGAGGACAACTGTCCTGGCAACTACGGGTGCCATTTCCTTGAGCTTCTGAAAGCCCAAGCTATTTTTAAAGGATGTCAACTTTACAAAACCCGCTTCGGTAGAAACAAGAGTTAGCACAACCATTAACCGCTTGAACATCCTCAGTGGACTTGTTCCTAAAAGCATAACCGGAGGCAGACGGCTTCCTTCGCTTACTGCCAGAGGCCCAGCTCCTCCCTACCCTTGAGCTCAGGTGCGAACAGGTACCAGAGAGCAAGCGCAACGGAAAGGAGGATGATCTGGGCAGAAATGGCCCTTGGCAGGCAGTATGGGCCCTTGGATTCCTGCTCCTGAAGCGAGTTGGAGCTGCCAGCCGAACTGGAGTTCAACTCTCAAGCTTCAGTCCCGGCCAAGCAGGCCCTTGCTCTCAAATGCGCCCGTATCTCCTCTATCTGGAACCCTCAAGGTTTCCAGAACAGTTGACCTTTGCGGCTCCTGCAGCGTGCGAGCCCAGGTCCCGATCCAAAGAGGGCCAGTTTTGGGAGGGGTCAATTTAGAGACTAGACCGCCCACTAACCCGTCATTGTTCACACCTGGGCGAGTGGGACCCAAGCTCGAATTCCTACTGTAGCAAACGGTCTAGCGAGCTTGAGTGCGTGTGAGTGGTGGGTGGGGGCAGGGCCTCAAACTTCACCTCTGGGATAGCCTTGGAAAGCTTGATGTGGGCGGGGTGAGGAAGAGCCGCAGGAGTCCAGGAAAGTCGCATTTCTGAATTGATAGAACCCTGCAGAATGGCCAGGCTCAGAGTCCACTGGCAAGGATATGTTTGTCATCCATGCCTCTGTTCGCAGGCCAATCTTTTCATCGCAAAGCCGCGATGGAGGGGAAAGATGCCGAAGGGCTGGGGTTGGGGACTGGCTTCTGCGAGCATCCTGGGGGCCCGCCAATGTGGGATACGTAACAAGGGAAAACGAATTAAAAAAAAATCCATCAACAGGTTCGGGTTTCTGGGCAGACATGCAAAGTTCAGACACAAAGATCATTGTAACTGTCAGAAAGGTAAGGCGCTCAGACGCAATGGATTTAAAAGGTTTTTTACTCTGGCAGTCAGGACAAGGGAAAGAGAAAACCGTGCTTCTCTTGGAATCTCTCATTTCCCAAAGGAGGGGATTTCCTCCAGTCCGCTCCAGATGCGTTGGCCGCGCTAGGAAACAGAGCCCAGGGAGAGGATTTGTTTTTCCGAAGCCGCGCGGCCCCGGCAAGGCTTCAGATCCGAGTTCCCAGTTGCCCTCCAGATCCCCCGCGTTTTTCCAAGGTCCTATTAGGTGCCTCGTAGGTTACCGCGCCACCGGTCATTCCCCCGTTTCTTCTAAAAGTTCTCCAGCCGGATTTCAGCAATTTATTTAAAAAGGCACCCGGTCATCGAGACCTTCGGGTGGCTCCTCAGGCCTCATAGGGCAGTTTGGTCAGGATCTGCGCGCCCCCCGACGTGATGAGAACCGTGTGCTCGAACTGGGCGGACCTGAAACACAGCACCGGAGCCGTCAGGACGCGCACGCAAGCGCCGGCCGGGCCACAAGAGCGCCGTCGGACCAATCTTCCCTTCCTATATACAATTTAAAAGCAAGAGGGCAAAAAGCAAACACCTTTGATTGTCTAGGGAGACCGCAGTCCATGCATCCTCCAGGACTTTAAATTCAGGGGATCCCTCCGTGATGATTGGCTCTGTAAGAGGAAAAATATTTACTGCAGTGTGACCTCATCAGATTCTTGTTAAACACTGTTTTGGGCTAATTATTAAAAAAGAGAAGTTTCTCCTCCCTCCCCTCAAGTGCTTCCCCCACAGGCTCCTGTTGTCATCTTGCAAGGGTTGATAATTGATGTTGCTAACATAGTATACCACAAACTAAACAGTAGGAAGAGGAAACACTACAGCATTTAAAAATGTATGAAGTTGCCTAGTTTGTAATTTTTTAGAGAAAGAAGGGCATTTTAATCAAGGCTTAATTAGGACCCGGTGGATAATAACCACCCAAACACCAGTCCCTCTTATAAACACGTCAATTTTAAAAAATATTTAAAATTTAAAAACATGCTCAAAATGTTCATTAATTAGCAAATAACACTTTTCTTATTTCACTCTAATTGCTTCTCCATTAAGTCCCACAGTCAGAAATATGATTCCTTTACGACCCTAGGTAACTGGAATTTGGTGGTGATACCAATCACAGGATCAGCCAGGAACGGGCCAAGAGACAGCATATGCCACTTGCTGACAGGGAGTAAGGGACATAATCGCGTCTAGTTACTGGGTGTTAATGAAAAAAACAAAATAAAACAAAAAACCAAACATCACATTATGCTGGTAACAGAATTAGAGGTTGGATGGCTGCCTTCTCCTAAATGTGTCAGTAAGTATCTGATTTAGGAAGATGGGGCTTGAGGATCTTATTTAACCAGATTTCCAGTGCATCCGAATTATTTCATTACACTGATTGGCTTTATTAGTCCTTCACGGGAGTGCCCGGCCTAGGCCAGCGGCAGCAGCTTCCATCAGGAGCTATGCACTCCACTTGGAAGAGAAGCTCAAAGCATTTACCTATAGTGAATGCCATGCCCTCCTCCATGGGTAGGTCGTTGTCATTCGCTGCAAAACAAAAAACATGGGGGGTGAAAATAGGAAATGGGCAGGACAGACAAAAACAGATTATGGGGGTCAGGCCCCTTTTAAAAACTTGGTCATTTTATTTCTCTTCTTTTAGAGAAGGAAGGGTGGAAATTTCTGGAGTCCTGGATAGTGACCCAGGAGTTAAACACGGGGCTGCTGGGCCTGAGTCTTTGCATTATCTGTGCTCGGGGTCAAGACTTCCCTGAAGAGTTTTCCAAGGCCTGGCAGGGGCAGCCTGGGCGTTTCAGACACATCAGGCTTCCTCACCCCTCTCACTGTCCCCCAGGCTACCCACTACTAGGTCTGCTGGCCTCACTGGGTCCTGGGCCTTGCCCAAGACTCCCTCAAAGAGGAAGAAGTCCTGGGGAAGGATGCAAAGGGAGGGCAGCCTCCTTTGGTGCAGGTTGAGCAGAGGCCTGACTTCAAATAGTTTCACTCTAGGCATTGGCACCAAGTAGGGCCCAGGGCTGACAAGCCCTGTCTGCACTCTCACCTGAACCTCTTCTGAGCTGCCTAGGTGGGGGGCTCTTTGGTCCAAATAGGGCTCAGACCTGCTAGGTGTCCAGCAATCCTCTAGGGGATGGGTCCCAAACAGTAGTCCTTCTATGGACCAATCAAGTCCATAGGGGCACAGGTCAAGGCCCCAGGACCAACTTTCCTTTGGTCCCTGTCCAGGTGTAGACCTGCCTTGAGGGTGCTCCACTGAGCTGTCTCCTACCTCAACCCAAATCCTCCCACCCCTGTGGGTCCACCTCTGTCTTCTCACTCTAGGGTGCACACCCAGGCAGTGAAAAACAGGAGATTCTGGGGAAGGAAGACAAGAGTGGGCATAATTTAGAAATCACTAAAGAGTACATGCTGCTAAATACATCAGCTGTCAATGCTGTGTAGGATGTAATGAAGTTTAACCACAACAGTCAGCAGCTAGAAAAGGGGGTAGAGAAAGAAAAACAGAAAACAGTCATATGTGCATGCTGCTGGGACATTGATGCGGTGACGTTTTGTTTTCAGTAACTTTTTCTAGACAAATATCCCTTGTGTCTTCCAGCCATGCACCCTTCAGAAGACAGAAACCAAAATAAACCTTATTTTGGGATTGAAACTGCTGGGCTCTAATCCAGTAACATAGCAATGTGCTGGTTAAAATTAAGCAGACTCCCCCGTACCCCGCACACAAACACACACACACAAACACAAGGATGATAATGCAGTTTCAAAGAGGAAGAGCTTTGGGGCAAAGCTGCCACATCCAGATCTCTGTCAAGAAACAGCTTCCAAATGAACTTTCTTACCATGATGCCAAATTTCTGGATGTCCATGAAAGTAAGATCCTATTCCATGTCCCACAAAATATGGACAGACTTGCAAACCATTCTGATGAGTTATGCAACTTTAAAAGTGACCCAAAAATATTTAATTAAATTAGATGAGTTTTTAAGGCATACTAAGATAAAACAGTCACTTAAAAATATTCTCTGAAAAAGTCAGTTATATTTAGAGTCAGATAACAACATTCATGTGTTTTCATTATTCTGTAATAATTTTAATTTTTGCTGTTGCCTGCAACCACTCCCTTTGGATATATGAAGAAAGAAGGTACATATCTATGACACACAGTTGTTTGAGTCATTTACCTTTGTACAGCATTTAAACAAAGCCACTTTTAGATAACAAGTGAGTGTGTACACACACATAGTATTGCTATACATAACCAGGATATATGTGCATATAATGCAGGTCATAAAAACCTGCCTGGTTTTTTTGAGGTTTCACCAAAAAAACTATAAATTACTCCTGATTGGGGAACCAAAAATAGAAAAAAATTACAATATAGAAATAAGACTTTCCATTTTGATGGTTCCCTTTTCCTGCTCTATTTCAAAGTGTTATACATTTTACCAACAGGCACACTCACACGAAAAGCTGAATCTACTTTGTCAATATTCTTGAAACACTCCAAAACTGTGAGATCATTTGAGAGTTCCACTCAAGGCCTGCACCACTAAGAAAATTCATAAAGAATGCTTTTTAATCACTAGGATGCTTAAGATAAGCTAGTATTGTGATTCCCAATTCTTAATGCTTCATTAGTTACTTCTACACGCAAATGTTTTGGTTCCAACTGAAACCGAGCACATAGAATCTAACTCTCAAATCTTCGTCCACAAGACTGAAAAGCAGTTCTTGAAATCAGCTGAACGTGTTTATTTTGGGGAGCATCAAACAAGAACATATATACTATTAAGAATTTATATTTTCATGTGGACAAAGGGCACAATGCCCCCAACCCTAACAATAGATTGGGATTTACAGGACTATTTCAATTATAACAGGATGAAGTTTCTAGATCTCAAACTAGAATCTCCAACAGACTCTAAGTTTAGTTTAACACGAACCCAAAGGCTTTTAGCCAGCATATTTATGGGCACTCGTGTCTACAAGTTTTTCTAAATAATTTTAACCATCCCCAGACTTGTAAGATAGCTTCACTTAGACCATGATGTCATTCTAACCAGCAAATGGGCAGCTTCTCATTCAGATTTAATTTTGATGTAACTGATAGTGCAGAAATAGGTAGGCTATACATATGCTGAGGACAGGAATGGTAAGTCAAGGTTTTTATCTCTTATGTTGTACTTTATGGCTATTTCTGTGGGTCTTTGGTGGGCAGGTATTTCTATTTGGTGTTTCCCAAGGTGATTTTATTTGTGCCATACAGTTTCTGAATAAAAACTGAGGATGAAGAGTGAACAGAGGGTGGAAAAAGATGATTAAACAGGACCTAATATTCTAGTTTTTTTTTTTTTTTAACAAGAACAGTTTCTACCTAAACCTATAAATTATGTCAGTTCAATCCCAACAGACCTCAATGATTCTAAGAACATGCAATATAAACTATTCTATATTTTCTCCTCAAAAAAAAAAAAAAATCTAGTTTTATTTATTTATTTATTTATTTAAGTATCCGGCTGATTGGCAGGCATCACGGCTACATCTTAAATGTGTGTTACAATGGCAATCTTCATTTTAATTTCTGATGAGAGGAGAGGAAGAAAGCCCACTCTGAAAAAACACTTAGGGTCCCTCCCCCCATCATACCTCTCGTTCCTCTGCATAAAAGAAGCTGTGCAATTACTAGGTGGCTAAAGATATCTGAGAGCATTCTCCTACAACCATTTACTCCCTGGGTCCTGCTGGAACTTCTGGCTCCAGGAATATCATAGAATCTAAGTGTCATGGATGTAAAGGTTAGAGGATTTCACAGCCAGGTGGAAAGAGGAAAAGAATAGGACATATCTCCCCCGTTCCCTGGTTGAGCACATCGCAATGCTTGACTCCCAGGAGCTGAGTATACACTCCTGTTTGCTTTTCAGAGTATTTTCCTTTTGGATTGGTAGATAGTTTTTAGCACTTCTTTACTGGGACTAGATAGAATCTTATTAATATTCCTAATTACTATTTAAAAGCATTCCCTTTCTATTATTTTAGAATAAATAGGGAGCACAAGATTATTTACCTGATTGTAGGGTTTAAATCCGAATTCACAGAGGCAATCCAATGACCAGTAGCAACCAATTTCATTCCTCTAACATGAAAGAGAGTACTGGTAACCCTAACCGTGGCATGGGAAGCTGGAGTGTCTCTGCACCTCTTGACTGGCATGCTGGGGAAAATGGTAACAGCAGGGCAGGCAGAAGTGTCCAAGTGCTCCCGAACACCAGCCACCACAGGCCGTGACCCTTTTCTGTGCACAGGGATTTCTTGCCCTGGACATCTCAACGATAAAATCTGCCTACGCTCTGCTAAAACCTACTGAAAAGAACTCTCCTGGTACTAGCTCCTCTGATTTTCTCTAACTAAAAATCCTTTAAGACAGTATGCATACTTACCCATGAGCCCAAACACACTTACGATTTGAAGCCCTTTATATAAAATATTTGGAGAGGGAGGGGAGGATGCATAAAGGTTGTTTATGAACTTACTTTCCGATTATACTCTCTCACTACAATTCACGTTGCAGTTACAGTTTATAGATGAAAAAGATATCTATTTTAAGGAATTTCATCTTGTAACCATTTTCTTAGTTTAATTCCTTTCAATGAGGCAGTTATACTCAATTTAAATGTCATCTAGGTAAATTAAATTTCTTAATACATTTCAACTACTTTTTTGACTAAAAATACATTCCCCAAGAGGGCAGAGGAGTACTATGTTTAAGTACAGGCTCTTATAAAGAAATAAAACTGCACACGAAAATATAGATTTACTGCCAATTTTACATGAATCCTATAAACAGCACTGATCTCCAATGGTCACAACTCTAATAAAGGATCTCAAATGGTACGTTATTTTATAAGTTATAAAATTTTACTTTACTCTTTCTAGATAATTATTTGAAGCAGTAGTCTTTGAATGAAGGAATGCACAAATCCAGAGAGTCCTTCTAATGACAAGGAATGTTTAAGTACAATTAGTAATATTTTTGAAAGCCAACAACTGTTTTCCAAAAAAGTGGTACTTTTTTTTGTTTCAAACCAGATCACAAATTACTGTATTTTTCTTACAATAGTGCTGAACTTTTATTTGAGGTTTTCTGTTTCTGAAAAGCAGACATGATGGATTGAAATAAAAGATAATTTATTGCAATGCTTACTTTCATGTGCAGAGAGAAGCAGTGTAATTGTAATTTACAGTAGCTGTCAAGAAAAATCCATCACAGATGACATTAAAATGACTTATTTTGCCTAAGCCACTTATTGTTTAAATGTGTGTAATCTAATAGAAAGAGATTATTTTTTAAAAATCTGCTTTATATTGTTCCAAATTAATATAAAACATATACTTATGAATTAAACATTAAAAACCACTTATTGATACTTTCATCATGACATTTACAAGTTTAAATTATTTTTAATTGAACTGTCACATATTTATGATGCATGAATCTACACATCCACAATATATTCATATGTACAGATCGTATAATCTAGAGATAATTATAAAAATACAGATTTAGAAATATTTTAAAGCAAATGGAGGTACAGTGAGTCTAATAACACTATGACCTAAAGATCACTAGGCATTCCTCACAAAGCAAAAGGGCCAAGAGAACTCTTTCCATTAAATCATTTTAGCTGATACTTCTTCAGAGACATTATCTTCTTTAGGTTTCAGAGGAGAATTCCAAAATTTCCTGTAGAGATCTCAAGGTTTTTGAAAACATAATACTAATACAATTCCCCTTGTTCTTTTCATAGTGTATCAATAGAGAGAGGCTATGCAAAAGATGGTGAATATCTTAAAATAAACAAGACCGAGTTGAAAGATGTTTGTAAACCTCTGGTCTGTAATGATTTCAAGTACTTTTGGCTTAAAGGTAAATACAGTTTGTTTACTTATTCCCCTAAGATTTTGCCAGAATAAGAAAAGGCAAGATAATAGGTGTCCAGAAACACTGCTCTAACACATCAGAACAACCATTTGTTAGAATCGGGGCCAGTTTCCTTTCTAGTAGCAGACATAAACCGTCTAAATAATGAAATGTATTAGGGTACAAGTAAAAAGTTCATTGTCTGTTATTTTTCACATAGTTTTGTAAGTGCAGTTGTTGGGACTGATCTGATTTTCAAAAAAGCTTGTACATGCAAATTCATACTCTGTGAAAACTGACCTTTGTATCCAGATAGCTAAAATCCAATGTCACTTTCAATTCTACTCTCTTCTTCTTCTTCTTCTTTTTATGTAGCTAGAATTAATGTAGTGAATATGTAATGAAATGCATTATCCTGCATGGAGATTTATCAGATTTTCCAACTGAATGCTATGCTTTGCTAGTACTAGCTGGAGTTCACCTGCATGTTGGTGTGGCGTGTGGCTCTTTTTTGTAAAGAGTTAAGTCGTACACAAAAAAAGGGAACAAAGGTCAGCACCCAGCCGCCACTTGAATGTGAGATTTTTCTTTTTATTCCCCTTGATGTATACTAGGCTCTGTGTTATTAGTCTTAATGATGGAAAATTGTAGTGTTGATACAAATCTTTTTTTCAAAGTAGTAGGCGGGAGCTCCATTTGTTAGTAAGTTTTTTTTGTGACTAAAAGCCACGGACAGTACATTTATGTAGCAGTAAAAGGCCTAGATGCTCTTTCCATAGCAGAGCTAATTATTCCTACTGTGACCTTACTGATCTAGCCTGTTCCTAGTACATCTCATCTGCACGCCTGTTCCTCTGTGTAGATGGTGTCAGAGAATATGAAAAACCCTATAATGAAACCATTTTCATGATGGAGAAAGGCTACTGGAGTTGCACTTGCTACAAAGAGGCTCAATTATATGAGTAATTGTGATAATTTTCTACATTCATAGCCTTCAATGGGGAAAAAAGAATGAGAGCCACAAAGGAAAATTACTTTAACAAGAAAGTACAGAGAGTAAAAATGGAAGAAGAGACAAAAAGGGGAAAAAATAACCAGAAAAAAAGTTTAAAAAATAGATCTGGAGGGAGGAATAGCGAGACAGGGAGAACAACAGAAATGCTCAAAAGCCCATGTGCAGCTGTGTTGCACAATTAAATTGAATTTTTTTTTCTGCAGTTGATGAATGTGACTACTGCAAATGTGCCTCTGTAGTTAGCTATCATTTGTTGTTCCGTGACAGGAAAAGGATAATTACCTCTCAGAGAGAATCAAAGGCTGACATGCCCTTTAGACACAGCCATGAATGCAGAGCTCGATAGAATGCTTGAATAAGAATCTAGTGTTCTCTGCCCCCTTCTACTGAAGAATAAATTTTGTTAAAATGCAAGAGCACCACCAGTAAATTTGTTGAACCCTAGGTGTTCAAAAATATGAGGTGCATCTATCGACTCATCCCATTTGCAAAAATAAAACTGCATTTTGAATTCATTTCTATTATATTCATGGACAGTAAGATAGTGAGATATGCATTAAATTTCTTTTCCCAGTAGGGGTCTGATTCAACATTTCCTATGAAAGAACAGAGAGACACTATCTTTTTTCCCAGGCTAGTTAGCCTATAATTTAAAACTGTCAAAAACACAATTTTGTTCAAAGTCTTCAATAAAAGCTTCTCAGATATAACCCAAAGAGATTTTACTAAAGTTTGATTCAGACACTGTTACAATATTTTTAAAGCCATAAATACATTTAACTGATATTTTACTGGCTTTTTTCTTAAAGTATTTGAAGGCTTACGAAGAAAAAAGGCAGCATCTTTTCAAGGTGACTAAGCCTTCCATCCTTTAGACAAATGGGAAGTATTCAATGGTTCATATTAATGAGAACAGTACTTTAAAGAGTGCTGATGTGATCATCTTTAACAAAATGCGTTACTTTAAAATGAAAACAGATATTTGGCATGTCTGCTTCAAAACAGTTATGGGGACAAAAAAAGACCTAAAAGTAGGTAACAGATTACAAAGAAAAGTCTTAAATTCAGAAAATACACATATACATAACACCCAAAAAGTAATGTCGAATACTCTAAAAAATAAACAATGATTTACAGGAAAAATGAACCAGGCAAAAAAAGAACAGAAGATCACCCTTTCAGGCTATTTGTTAATCTACCAATTGAAAGGTAAGGCTTGCTTGAACTGACACTTTTTTATCTTTGTATCGGAGAAATACATTTCATTTCCTTCCTTTATAAAATTTAGTTTTTCTCCTGTCTTATTAAAAATCCAAGGGTTGAGATGCTCATCCCCTTCTTAGGAACTCCCTTCCATATTTGGTGTGATTTTGAATAAAGGAACACTATAGACCAAAATGTCAAGCTATAACAAAAGCAGCCATGTAAATACTGCTTGCTCCTTCTGTAAGTTTCTTTGCTGACCCTGGTATAATTCACTTTTTTTTTTTTCAACTCAGGGAACAATATTGCAGCCTGGCAGTTCACATACTGATATCAGACTGAAATGATGGTTCTGAATCATAAAACATGTCATCAACTTTATACCAAGCCACCAATAACCTTTGTACCATTTGCCAACCCTCCCTTTACTTGTCAATGTAAGGCTTACCTGATTGTGTTTCCAATTACAGAGAAGGGAGCCCCTGCTCTGCAAGCTGCAATTGCTTCATCTCTACACCTCCTGGCAACCTCCACTAACTTTTTCCCACATTCGTCCACATTGCCCACCAAAAATGTTTCAGAGGTGTCTCCATGGTAGCCATTGTAATAGACCTAAACATAAGCAGAAATTTAAAAATATGTCCTTGTTTAAAAATCTACTTTCCTAAAGTGCACAATGTATTCATTTATGTATATAGTAGACTCATCTGTTTTACCATTCCAGAATTATTTGTTTGCCTATCATAAAAAGAAGAAATAGATATACTGAAATCTTGCAGAAATTAAAAAGATGAGGCCATGCAATGATATTGCAAAATGTAAAAGGAAATACATAGCTAGTATGGTTATTGCTCATAGCATTATGATGAGCAATATTACTGCAATATTTTGATTCCTCACTTTATTTCTGAGAAGACAAAATTACATAAGCAAAAATCAGTAGCCAAAGACCTTGATCTACAATTATCACAATAGGTTTGAAGAACCAAGAAGCATTTAACATAGTGAAAATTTCTTCAATGTCATGAAGACTTACTCGATCTTGTATTTACCAGTTCTACATTTGAAGTGATATTTAGTAACAAGAAGTAAGATAGACAAACAGGAGAATTTATTTCTAAGAACTGAAGTGGCTCCATACAGGAATGAAATGTGTTACAGAAAAATCCTATGTCTAGAACTGAAATCTTAATCAAATGTTCCAGATAGCAGAATGTTAACAGAAAACACGATATATGGATATTTAAAGAATTAGAATATAATAAAACGGACTTAAAAGCAAAATTACGGAAAATATAATTTTATCATTCTTCAGTGATTCAGAAGCCAAGCAGTATCTTGAAAGATACCAGATTCATTATAAATCAATGATTACCAAGCACTACAGTAAATATAAAAGGCAGAGGAGATTGTTTGGATACTGACACTTTGATATAGCATGGAATTTGCTACTTTGTATAAATTTGTCCTATCTAATTATTTTTCACATTTCTCTTGTTCATAAGGTATAATGTAGAAACTGTTACAAGAAATATATTTATCTGAGCTTTCGGTCTGTTGTGATACTGAATTAATATCTTAAATCTATATATTACTCTTCATTTTTTAAAAATGCTTCATACTCTGTAAAGGAAGCAAGAAAGGTCTTTATTAGATCTTCACTTTATAATTCAGGAAACTGAGGCATAGATAAGTAACTTGTTTAAGGTTGGTGGCAGAATACAGAGGTAGATTCAGATTAATATGATGGATTATTGGCTTCTAATCTAGTGTTTTCTCTACTATATCAAATTATCTTAATTACCTTGCAACAGAATAGTGTTTTACATATTTACTCCCACTTACAGTCCTTTGCAATCCAGGAAAGCACAAGTTTTTATTTTATATACTTGGCAGTATTTCACTTTGTTTCATAAGTTTTACAATTTTGAAAAAGTTTGAATGTTAATAAAGAAACTATTAAAAGTCTTCAGGAAACTTAGAAAAAGAACAGAGTATTCCCTTTGGACACAATGGAAACAGTATTTCACTCAAAAATTCAAAATTTTATATTCTTGTATTTCATTCAAAGTACAAGAATATTATTTCAAAATACAAAACACTAGTTCATTCAAAATACAAAAATATAAAATTTGCTAATATAAGCGTAGTCCAGAAAATGTGCAAATGTGCTTTTTAAGTAGAAATGTACTATTTTAAAAAATCTTTATTCACCTTTCCATATTACTTTTTGCTAGCTTTGAAAATGACTACTTGAAGCTGGGTGCAGTAGCTCACGCCTGCAATCCTAGTACTTTGGGAGGCTGAGATGAGAGGACTGCTTGAGACCAGGACTTTAAAACCAGCTTGGGAAACATAGTAAAACCCCATCTCCGCAAAACTAAAAAATTAGCCAGGTGTGGTAGCACATGCCTGTAGTTCTAGCTGCTTAGGAGGCTGAGGGAAGGATCATTTGAGCCCAGGAGTTCGAGGTTACAGTAAGCCATGATGGCACCACTGCACTCCATCCTGATTGACAGAGCAAAGCACTGTCTCTGACAAAGAAAGAAAAGAAAGAAAGGGAAAAAAAAGGGAGGAAGGGAGGGAGGGAGGGAGGGAGGGAAGGAAGGAAGGAAGGAAGGAAGGAAGGAAGGAAGGAAGGAAGGAAGGAAGGAAGGAAGGGAGGGAGGGAGGGAGGGTCAAAATGACTACTTGAAGCTGGGTGCCGTGGCTCATGCCTGTATTCCCAGCATTTTGGAAGGCTAAGAAGGGTAGATTACTTGAGGTCAGGAGTTCAAGACCAGCTTAGACAACATGGTAAAACCCCGCCTCTATTTAAAATACAAAAATTAGCTGGGTGTGGTGGCGAGTGCCTGTAGTCTCAGTTACACGGGAGGCTGAGACAGGAGAATTGCTTGAACCCTTAAGGCGGCGTTCCCAGTGAGCTGAGATTGTGCCACTGCACACCAGCCTGGGCAACAGAGCAAAACTCCGTCTCAAAAAAAAGAAAGACTACTTGAAAGATTCATTATTTACAGAAATACAATACTTTTGAAAGTCTGTCTTGTCTTATACCTTATTTATTTATTTTTCTGAGACAGAGTCTCGCTCTGTCATCCAGGCTGGAGTGCAGGGGCATGATCTCACCTCACTGCAACTGCAACCTCTGCCTCCCAGGTTCAAGCAATTCTCCCTGCTTCAGCCTCCTAAGTAGCTGGGATTACAGGCTCCAGCCACGACATCTTGCTAATTTTTATATTTTTAGTAGAGATGAAGTTTCGCCATGTTGGCCAGGCTGGTCTTGAACTCTTGACCTCAGGTGATACACCCGCCTTGGCCTCCCAAAGTGCTGGGATTAGGCGTGAGCCACAGTACCCGGCCTTGTACTTCATTTATTTAACAAATATTTATTGAGCAACTACTATGGACATTGCATTGTCTTTTTTTTTTTTTTTTTTTTTTTTTTTGAGATGGAGTCTCGCTCTGTAGCCCAGGCTGGAGTGAAGTGGCACAATCTCGGCTCACTACAACCTCTGCTCCCAGGTTCAAGTGATTCTCCTGCCTTAGCCTCCTGAGTAACTGGGATTACAGGTGTGCACCACCACGCCCAGGCTAATTTTTGTATTTTTAGTAACGATGGGGTTGGCTAGGCTGGTCTCGAACTCCTGACCTCGTGATCCGCCTGCCTCTGCCTCCCAAAGTGCTGGGATTAGGCGTGAGCCACAGCACCTGGCCCAGTACTTCATTTATTTAACAAATATTTATTGAGCAACTACTATGGACATTGCATTGTCTTTTTATTTTTATTTATTTATTTATTTTTTGAGACGGAGTCTCGCTCTATAGCCCAGACTGGAGTGCAGTGGTACTATCTCGGCTCACTACAACCTCTGCTCCCAGGTTCAAGCGATTCTCCTGCCTTAGCCTCCCAAGTAACTGGGATTACAGGTGCGTACCACCACACCCAGGCTAATTTTTATATTTTTAGTAGAGATGGAGTTTCACTATATTGGCCAGGCTGGTCTTGAACTCCTGACCTCGTGATCCGCCTGCCTCAGCCTCCCAAAGTGCTGGGACTATAGGTGTGAGCCACCACACCTGGCGCATTGTCTTTTTTTTAAAGAAAAACATTTTTCAACTTTCAAGGGGGAAAGAAATCTATTTTCTTATAATGTATACTTGATGTAAATAATTCTAAAATGCAATGAGTATTTTCTGATAGAAATATAGGATCTTATAATGGAGTCCTTCACTTAATAAAATATTTTATAAGAAATATAATTTGTTAAGATACTGTCCTATATGTTTCCTAGATTCCTTCACATTTCTAGACACTTGGAAGCATTTCACTTTGCTTTATAAGTTTTACAATTCTGAAATTATTTGAATGTTAAAAATAAAACTGTTTATTACGTATTCAGAAAACTTAGAAAAGGAATAGAGTAGTTTTTTTGGACACACTGGAAACAGTAGGGAAGAGTAGGTGACTTCATCCAAAATATTAAAGCGGTAACATTGCATTATAAGGTGACTAGATAATAGATGTAAAACCCTAAAATCAGGTTCAATCCAAAATAAAAGTGTATTATGAAAAGCACTTTATTTTAGGTATACTTCATAAAATACCTCCTTCCACATGATTCTGAGTTAGAAAGATACCAACGGGATGTTATGTGGAGCAAATGTTCAAGTATTCTAAGTAGGGCAAAATGGTACAGGAAATAGCAGCAGCAATAAAAAGAATCCTTGGCTATCTCCTCATATAAATTGATATTAAGAAAAAAGGTTGAGTTTACTTAAACAACTAAAAATTGGACTGAATCCCACCATTGGATTCCTTTTTTTTTTTTTTGAGACGGAGTTTCATTCTTGTTGCCCAGGCTGGGGTGCGATGGTGCAATCTTGGCTCACTGCAACCTCTGCCTCCCAGGTTCATGCGATTCTCCTGCCTCAGCCTCCTGAGTAGCTGGGACTACAGGCATGCACCACCACACCTGGTTAATTTTGTATTTTTAGTATAGACATGATGTCTCCATGTTGGTCAGGCTGGTCTTGAACTCCTAACCTCAGGTGATCTACCTGCCTCGGCTTCCCAAAGTGCTGGGATTACAGGTGTGAGCCACCACGCCCGGCCAGATTTCTATTTTTATCTCATTCTCCCTCTTACCTAAGTTTCATGGTCTAGGTACTATTCTTTTTTTTCTTTTCTTTTCTTTTTTCTTTTTTTCTTTTTTTTTTGAGACAGTCTCTCTCTGTTGCCAGGCTGCAGTCTCAGCTCACCGCAACTTCCACCTCCTGGGTTCAAGTGATTTTTCTGCCTCAGTCTCCTGGGTAGCTGGGACTACAGGTGTGAGCTACCACACCCAGCTAATTTTTCTATTTTTAGTAGAGACAGGGTTTCACCATGTTGGCCAGGGTGGTATTGATCTCTTGACCTTGTGATCTACCAGCTTCAGCCTCCCAAAGTGCTGGGATTACAGGTGTGAGACACTGCATAGATACTATTCTTAAAACACTTCTTTATTAATAGAAACTGTATTCCTTGAGTGTTGTCATTTCAACTAGTTCTCCTAAGATGTTTAAATTTTGTTTATTTATTTAAAAGGTATTTGTAAATCTTAGATGTACAGAACTTACTTATAATATACATAATCCAAAGGTATCATTACAAAAGTCTTTAAGAAAAAGAAATGTAAAAGTACATATAATCCAAGTCTGAGAACGGTGATAGGCTAAGAAAATTAGAAAAGGTTACCGCTTGAACAATTTGATGTCCCTATGTTAAATTACTTAGGCTTGTTATTTAAAAGAAAGATGATTAACCATTTGGTGAAAAACTTAAGTTCAGACAAAATACCACTCTGCTTGTATGCTCTAGGCACAAGGCTCTGTCTACCAGAAATGGAACTCAACATTACCTTCAGGGATTCTAATAAATCTAAGGAACACTGCTAGCAAAAGAGTTGCTGTCCAAATAGACTGACATACACGGGCCAATGTAGCCCCTAATGACAGAGTAAGATAATGACAGGCCCCACTCAAAATCAGCAGGAAGAGGAAGATCAATCTTGGCAGAGTGAAGGAAAAATGCTGGCTTTCTTCGTGTTAGCTCATCTCATACATATCTAGCTTCAGCAGCTGCCCAGTGCTGTGGTGCTCTGCGTTAACTACACAGTGGATCAATAACAATTACACCTTCTCAAAAACATGACACATAGCAGGATTGGGTTGACATTTCACTTAGGCCAACATTGATCTCAGTGCATCTGATTGCAGCCCTAAATTCAAGTCAGGCCTGGGTTTACTTGGAATAAACACAGAGTTAAAGACAAAAAAGGAAACCAGCTGCTTGCGTCTGGGTCTAGAAGTAAACAGCACTTCCACTGGTGCAGTTCACATTTTCAATCCACTCTTCCTGTTGCTACCAGCAATTCTGAAGTTGATCAAAGATGATTTTTTATATGATTTACTCACTGTGACATCAATGTTGATAATATCGCCATCCTGAAGAGGTCGACTAAAACGTAAACAGAAAAAAATTGGTGATAGACAGATCTCAATAAAACGAATAGAAAAATAAACACTTAATGACTAATATGACAAACCCAATGGGTTGCAATGATAATTTGGAGTGAAGGAGGAATAGACAGGACAACTAAATCTAATCTTTAACTTATTTCAAAAGATGCACTTAATTTTGCCAAGAACCGAAACAAGAGTTGGTAAGAAAAATTTGCCACATTTGGATTTTTATCACTTATATGATTAAAATCTAAGAAGTAAAAGACATATGTAATGTACAACCCATTTAGATTGTATACTGCTTTAACAAACATTAAATGGTGGTGTTGTGTCCATTTAGAAGTAAAATACTTCAAAATTTCTGTTTTATCATAATCAATTTCAGAAGTTTACCGGTGGGTTTCAATTGAACAATAGTGTCTTTCAACATGCTACAGATCTTAGCTTCATGTTTTAGTTTCCAAAGGAACAATATTTTATTAAGAAATGAATACCTGTCAGGAATACCATGACAGAGCACGTTGTTTACAGAGGTACAAACAGATTTTGGAAAACCTCCATAGCCTAGAGGTGAGGGATAGGCATTATGACTGATGATTTCCTGATGAACAAGAGCATCTATCTCTTCAGTTGTCATGTCAACCTAAAATGTTAAATAAAAAAATTGTGCAGCAACAATTGAAGACAATTCTTGTATTTATCAACTATGCTATAGCAACAACACTTCCATGTGAGACTGTATAAATCTACTATGATAAAACGGTACGACATTTGAATTAATTATGATTAGTGTTACAATCCTCGACTGTGCCTTGCAGACAATCATTTGGGCATATGATGGTGTTATGGACCATTAGGAAATAGAAATTTTAAACTCTAGGATCCTCTAAATCATTTGTGAGTCATTAAATGACATAACTCCCTTTTGGCCTGAAGATTTCAAAATTATGTTATTCGGCAATTCCTTCCTCTTTCTCAATAGTTGGTGCCCTCGGCTATTCAACGCATATGAATAAATGTTCAAAAGGTTCACCAGTTGAACCTTGAAAAGCTTGAAAAGTAGGTCAACCCACATCTTTTTATCTCAGTAAAACATTACCTGGTTTTGCAGCAATGGCATGGAGATAATGGTTGATATTTAAAAGACTGAGTCTAATACAGTTTGTAGAGATTTGATTTTAAGTAATCTTGATTTCTTTCATGGCAAAATAAATAAATAGAAAATATAAAAATATTTTTTGCTTACAAAAGGTATTCCAAACTAAATTGCTCCCAAACTAAAAGAAAACCAAAATTTAGTTTTATAAGCACGTGAAGACTATTTCCATAAATGTCATAAACATAAATAAAATTCTAAAACAAAATCTTTTATTAAAAATTAGCCATTTCTGGGCCGGGCGCGGTGGCTCAAGCCTGTAATCCCAGCACTTTGGGAGGCCGAGGCGGGTGGATCACAAGGTCAAGAGATTGAGACCATCCTGGTCAACATGGTGAAACCCCGTCTCTACTAAAAATACAAAAAATTAGCTGGGCATGGTGGCACGTGCCTGTAATCCCAGCTACTCAGG